TAAATGAACGAAATAACATTGAATGTGTCACATGGAAATTTTAAACTATTTGACATTAATATGATCTACTAACTCATCAAAATCCATATTTTAGACTTTTCCTTACACGACACTTAACATATAAAAAAGTAAAAATGTTAAGATCTAAAAACATATTGATCGTTAGTATAAACCAAACAATTTTTTAGAAAACTTTAATGCTTGATTTATATGATAGGTAAACCATTATAAATCTTAAGATTACATGCATAAAATTGATAAAATTGATAAAAGACTAACAAAATTCTTGGACTAAAGTTTAAAAGCATAAAAACAATTACAAAAGTATGGTTCATACTCGGCCATGAGAAAGAAACGCATTGCCCTATTATGTTCCCCTCTAAATATCAAACACTAAAGCAAATATTCTAGTCTTAAAAATAATAACAACTAAAAAAGATAAACTTTTCACAATTTAAAAATAGATCACACCCATCATAACAAAGAAAAATCATGAATAAAATACATACAAAATTAAAGAAATAAATATCAAATCTTTAATTGAAAGAATGTGAAGATCATTGGGGAGGCTTTTGTTGCATTGGATTTTAACAGGTGAAGAAGATATAGTGAAAAATAAAATAACTTGAAAACCTAAGAAGTGGTTTAGTGTTTGTTTCATTGATTTATCACTATATCTTCTTTACTTGTGAAATACTAAATTCTTCCATTTTAACGTTTTAAACAATTTTTTAATAATTTTTGTTGAATGATCTTGGGGTTCCAAAAAGAATTTTATATAGTCAATTATATTACATGGAGGAAAGATTAATTTTGCATGTGAATTTGATGTAGTGAATATTTTTACGATTGTAAAATGGGTATTAACAAACTTCTCTATATTCATGGACAATGGCACTTTTTTTAGAAATATTAGTTTGCAAATAAACAAGGAGTTATAGTTTAGTAATTTGTAAGATTAAATTAAGGGATTAATGGCTATGCATTGACAGTGTAGAATAATTTTACATTTTCATTCAATAAAAATCCAACAATATTCAAATGTCATTAAATTTTTTTAAAATAAAAGAGTGGTTTAATTGGATACATGGTGGTGATTGGTTGACAATTTAAAAATATCACTATCTTCCAGGGCATTGATTCCATGGTTTCTGATCCGCAAAGGTGGTCCCCCGGCGCGAGCACGACGAAGAGCTCTCTGGGCTCCTGAAGTAAAACCCAATCCAAATTTGTCAGATTTGTAGGGAATATCTGGAAGTTGACCCCAAATTGAACACCCACCTTCTTCAACTACTGCCTTGACATCTTTGAGAGAAGCCATTTTTAGTGGAGGCCTGGTAGTCTTAGGAACACTGACAGTGGTCTTGGTTGCAGCAACGGTCTGTAGAACCTCTTCAAAGTTCTGACAGGGAGTCTCAATGAACTCGCCGTCCATTTCAACATACCTGAAAGAGTTCAGGTGGCTCACCATGTATTACTCCTCCCCATGGACTATGGTAATTTTCTCATTGACTGGGTATTTCAGCATTTGATGTAGAGTGGAAGTCACAACACCAGCCCCATGGATCCAGGATCGACCCAATAAACATGAGTAAGACGGGCGAATGTCCATCACATAGAAAGTGGAATTAAAAGTCTGAGTACCCACTTTGATAGGGATGTACACCTCCCCATGCACCATTCTTTTGGAACCATTGAAAGCCCTCACCACAATGTTACTGGGTTTCAGAGTCAATCCTTTGCAATCCAATCTGTCAAGGGCCTTCTTGGGCAGAACATTCAGCGATGAACTTGTATCCACTAGAACATGGGCCAAAGTAGTACCCCTGAACTCGATAGAGACATGCAGAGCATCATTGTGTTTCCTCCCCTTGGGAGTTAGGCCTGCATCAGAGAATCCCATGCCATTGTCAGCTGTCAAACTAGCCACACAATTCTCGAATTGATCAGCGGAGGTCTCCTGAGGCACATGGGCAGACTTCATAAATTTTATCAAAGCCTTAGCATGGGCTTCATAGCATAATAACATGGTCAGTATTGAGATCTTGGAAGGGGTCTGCGCTAGTTGTTCAACCACATTGTAGTCGCTCTTCTTGATTATTTTCAATATCTCTTCCATCTCCTTTTTAGAAGCCTCAAGGATGGCTTCTGGATGCGCCTTCGTCCAGAAAGGATTAACTAATACCTCTTTGCCTCGAGTCTCAGCCGACTCGGTAGCAGGGATAACAATAGGACTAACAATAGGAGTAGCCATGGTAATACTGACAGGAGCTGCAGTAGGAATAATCACCGGAGTAATAATAGGAGTACTAGCAGGAGCAGAAGCAGCAGCAGGGATGATCACGGGAGTAGCAACAGTTTTAGGAGAGATCTCAGGAGAGAAAACTCTTCCGCTTCTTTTTATCTTACTGGTCCCAATGATATTGGCGACATCAGGATCAGTACCTTCAGCAACTTTGTCTTTGATAGCCAATAGGTCTTGCTTGACGCCATGGTAATAGACGTCAGTCCCATAATTCCAGGGAACAGCTTTGTCCGAGGAATATGGTATTGGCCCTGACATGGTGATGATCAGGGGAGCAATTTTCAGAACAGATGTAATCTTGACGGGTCTTTTGGTGTAGACCCTGGGAGGATTGTCGGAAATTGTAATTATCGAAACATCTTCACATGAATTTATGGCAAGAGGAACTTTCTCGAACAGAATTTCTTTGTTAATCATCAGGCGTTGGACGCCCATCTTCAACAATAAACAGCCATCTGATAGAGACATGTATAAGTGGTAACCTTCACCACAACCTGGAAATAAACTGGCACTCAATAGATTCTCTTTTACCGTTAGAAGAGGAGTAGTTAATTCATCCACGGAAGAAACAAAACGGTCATCATCAATAGCATTGACACCTTGGCCATGTTTGGGCATTGGCGCTGTTATTACATTAGGTGTCTCAGGAAGGTCAAACTCAATCTCCTTCGCTTCAATGAGATCCTGTACTTTATTCTTTAAAGCCCAACAGCCAATAAGACAATAGGCGAAGGTGCACATTTCAAGTAAAATAAGAGAAGGAATGCTACTTAAAAGTTTTCTCCTCTCATCCATAGAGTTTGCCTCAATGATGTTGTGGCAATGTATTTCTAAGTCATAGAATGAAAGTGGTGTTTCCTTCATCTCCTTTTCTGCATCGGTTGAGAGCTATATGAAATATAATAATCTCCAACTATTTGAGAAAAGTGATATGAGGACCGAAATTGCCTCCTCTATTCAGAACAGACCGTTGGGGTTAAAGAAGAAGAAGAAGAAACAGGGCAAAATTCATTATGGATAAGAGGAGAAATGGGGGAAACCAGGAAATAATATTCTTTAAAAAGGTTTCAACTGTCAATACATGGAAAATATCGTTTCTCAAACGACAAAGAGAAATAAGCCCACTGCGTCGACTCTTGGAAGGGGGTTAACTTGCAAAGATAGAAGAAGAGATTTAGGGTAGTCGAATTCATATTCCCCTTGTACTCATACCAATATTGAAAGACCCTCTCAAAAGTCCAAACACATGGATGAAGTTGCAAGGGAGGAATGGAATGATCCAATACTCCCTTTTCAAAAACATTCGAGGAGAGTCGTACTCCTAATTTCTCAAAGATGGAAGAGTAAAAAGGGATAGAGCATCCTTCGAATATATGGCACACCCTCTTATCTGCAGAGACCGCCAAAATTTTCCAATCCGAAGAAGACCCCACATCTAAGGGAACTTCTATCCCCTCGTCTCTCTCAATATACTTCGAAGGGAACCTCTATCCCCTCTTTTCTGCAAAGTATGAAAGTGATTTTGAATTGTATACAAGACAATGGGCAACGAGTATTTCTAAGGAATATGGAATACAATCATATAAACTTACAGAAACAAAGTTTGGAATACACGCAACATAAAGAAAACAGCAAACTCATGGTACCCATGTTTGAAGGAAATTCAGTTGTGAGATTGTATATATGCTAGTACAACTTATGTAGCAGGATCTCCTCAGAACTTATCCTACAAAGATCAATGAGATTCAAAATATGAATTGTCTTTCACTATATACAATGTTTCTATCTGTAAGATTGATCATCCAGAACCCTCGTCAATCTCTTACCTTAAGTTTAAAGCAACATTTTAGAACTAGTAGAGCACATATATTATCAAGGAATATTTAAAGCCAAAGAATTTGAATCCACCAACCCATTAGTCCCATAATTATATCAGACCAGTCGACAGAAAAAGATATTAAGAATGTATAGTGAACAAGACAAAAGATAACATGCACCATGTTTATCGTATGTTCATTGTTACCTCCGAATTGAACATACTACGTTCCTTACATGTATGCATATCAATTAGATGTTTGACAAAAGAAACATGGAGAAATTGTTGTGCGTGACAAAAATACAAATTCAAGAAAAAAAATATGCAATCTAAATCTGCAACAGTTCATGAGATATACTAATGATGTTGAACTTGAGATTCAAAGATGCATATGCATGTGCTCAGAGTAGGTACCTGGTTAAAAACTTGGCAATATGAGAATTGGGGCAGGCATTATTTAGAAGTTGTACTTCAAGTCATATAAATGTAATCGATCTTCACGGATTGAATGTGAGAAATCTTCCCCCAATCTTCACCATTAGGTTTCATGCATCGCTGTTTGAGCAACAAACAATCCCTAATTTCTAGGCAATGATCTTAAATTCTCCAATTTGCAAATTTGAAAATACTTAAGACTGGGTGCAAAGAATCCCCCTTTGGGAAATGATACAAATTTGGGGCACTCAAAAATTTCCAATTGCTAAAGGCTATGATCCCGCTCCTGTAAAATCATTTCAAGATTACTACAGTTTACAATTGAAAGTGACTGTAGTTTTGGGACAAAATCCAACGAAAAGGTCCTTAGAGAGTCACAGCTACTGTGAATACCTAAATATTGAAGGAAATTATAGCAACCACCTAGGGGAATAGTCAGAGTTGGGAAATCTGTAATTTCGAGTGATTCGAGAGGGGCGTGAGATAAAGTGTGTCCAATCCATTCAAGCAACATTTCTTCCATGCAATTGCCACCAATCTTGAGAATTTGCAAAGTAGCTGATGATAATCAATTTGCAGCTTTCCACAATTAAATAGCTCTAATTTATGAATCGCCGGAGCAAATGAAACAAAACTCACAAGGTGTTGGCAATAAGAAATTTCAAGCTTCATTAACCGCGGAAGATGCTGAAGCAAACACTCTTTTAGATTTGGACAGTTTTGAATTGAAAGCTTTTGGAGACATGAAAAAGCACCCGGCACAGTTTTACAATCCCATTCTTCCCATCCCTTCATATCTTTAAAACTTAAGGTTTGCAAGGATACAAATGGAATAATTTCAGAAGAAGAGTTACTCCCATTTCCATAAAACTCACCACCAATAACCACTATCCCAGATAGCCCTGTGATCCACAGGTTCTTGAGAGATGGCAAAATTCCAAGTGGAGGTAATAACACAATATTTTCACAATTGCTCAACTTTAAGGACACCACATTAAAAAATGAAAAATGACGAGTCATTTTCAATATATTATGTGATTCTTCATCATCAAATATGAAGCAAAAATCCCCGCATACATATTTTGCCAAATCATTGAGAAGATCATGCATTACAAAATGCATCTCATATTGCCTTGATATCTGAAAAAAATGACCTCGAAAATAATTCATTGAAGTACTGTTCACCAACTTCTTCCATGCTCATATTCTGTCGAGGGCATTGAAGAAAATTCTCAGCCATCCAAAATAAAACTAAATGCGCCTTATGAAATACAAATGTTTTTGGAAATAAGGCACAAAAAGCAAAATAAAAGAGCACCCGAGGACTAATACAAATGTTATGAAACTAAATGCTTTTCGAATGTAACCTGAAGGAAAGCAGAAACAAGAGCACTGCCAACCAATTCGACCGCCATAGAACGTAATGAAAGGAGAAACAAAAAAAAAATTCAAGAAAGGATTGCAAATTGCAACTGACTCGATACGATAAAGTGAACTAATGCTAATAAGCTATTTTGTGAGGGATAGGAATTACTTTGTGTAATTGTTAAGCATCGTTTATTATTTTATAACAGAAACCTATATTGGCGACTCTTCCCAAAAAGATAAAGGTATAATATCATAGAATGTGTTTAGATTGTACTAGTGAAAGCGCAGGAAATCAAAAAGGATTTTTAGAATCAAATCAAATAATATAATTTATGCAAGTGGGCTTTATTCTATTTATTAGTATCATCAGTGCTCTATTTCTTTTATTTAACATAATGGATAGTTCAAGCAAATATAGTTTTTGGTCAATGAAGGTGAGCTACCTAATCAATAAACAAACCCAACGAAAGCTTCCTAGAAATTTCTGGTGAACTCAGTGTTGCTTTGTGTTGTCATTTGTCAATAATGGACGGTTTAAACAAGTTTAGTTTGTTTGGTTTGATGGGTGAGTGGCTTTCGACATAGCATAGATAACCAACAACAACAAGGAAGACTTATCCTAATAAGTGGAGTCAGCTACAAAGATCAACTCCCGCTATAATTGTTCTATCTAGGACCATGTTTCTATCCAAATTATTAATCTCAAAAATTTTCTTAATAATTTCTTATAGTTTTTCTAGTTCTTCCTCTGCCTCTAGTTGTTTGACTCTTCTCCACTTGATCCACTCTCCTTACCACAGAATCTATAGGTCTTCTCTCTACTTAGTATAAATAACCAATCAACTAAAAGCTATACACCCTGGGCCATTTTTATAAGCTTATTATTGGTCCTTCTTATAATAATCGTCACATTTGAAGAAAATAATTGTCCTAAGATAAATGTCATTTTTAATTTTTCAAATTATAATCTCTAATTGATATTTTTACATAATTTCCAAATTACTATTTTTCACTTTACATTTATTATAATGAAAATCAATCAATAACTAATAAGGTTTATTTTGTAAAATTGTTATTCACTTTTTTTCATTTATAACTTCTCCTTAATTTGTATGACATTAAGGGTTTGTGAGACGGATGTAGTAGTAAATGTATGTTTTAGAAAATACAGTAGCTTTTTTAAATGCATATTCTAAGCAAGTTCAGTTTGTTTGGTATGTTCGGTGGATGACTATATATGATGCATAGGTACACAAGTACGAACAAGATACGGGTACGTCAATAAAAAAAAAGAGCTTTTTGTATATAATGTAACATAAGAGAACTAAATTATTCAATTCACAATAAAACATCACAATAAAAATTTAAAAGATCAAAAGTTATGTTAAGTTACAACATTATAAAAAAAAACTAAAATACATTAATAATACATACATGTATGAAAAATCCAGAAATTTTATTCAAAACAGAACAATAAAAAAATGTAGCACAAGTAAGATATGCATACAGGCACCGGGTACGTATTCGACACGGGTTATTCACCAACTTAGAATCCATGCTTCAGGGATGACTATTGACCTGGCTAGCTATGACTAACCAATCAACTTAATGTTATATGAGAAGAGTGAGCAAAACAAAAATCATATGAATGAGGTAGAAAGGAATCAATATAGGCATCTTAGGAGAGTTTAAATGATTAAATGAATTTTGTAACTACCACGGGGAGAATAAAACTGCATCAAATAAAAAACAAATACCTTTCTGCACGTGGATGGAGGTGTTGTTTTCTGTAATTGGAGTCATCGGTGTATTGCAGAGCTTTTTGTTGGTTGTGAAATCGAACTACATAGTCCTCCATCTCGCTCACTGAATGGCTTCCTTCTGCTTCCTGTCAATAAATGAAACACAGATGATTCTGTTGAAATATTGTCCACTGTGCAATAACCAAAATCCGGTTTTCTTCACTACTACCTAGTCGGGGTACTACCGATCCAGTCCAGTGACCTTTCAATGTAGTAGGATATTTGCAGCTCCCATTTTCTTGTAATGGTTTCAGGATTCTCAAAATGTGGGGAAATTAAAAACCAAATGGGGAAGATATCATTGATCCACATAGGAAATAAGCATTACTGTCAACTCAATGTTTTTTAGCATGATAAAATAGAAAGAAAAAAAAAAAGATAAATTATATAAACCAAAAAAGGTAAGATAAAGGACTCAAGGATGGATTTGGCCTAGTTAATAATAATTTTTTCTTCACTAGTTTAAAAAATAAATATCAGATTTTTCAAACTCATATGAGATGTGAAAGACCCTCTGATAACCAGAAGCAATACATTGCATACAATTGCATGAAAAATCTTCCATTGAATAAGCAAGATTATAATCATATCATATCAGGAGCACTAAAGCATCTATAGATTTTGTTTTATTTTATACATTGTATTTCTTGACATCAAACCCCTTTCCACCACATGATCCCAAAACATCTGTGAAACTTTGTTTTCACTAGCATCAGGAGCACTAAAGCATCTATAGATTTTGGCATTGATCTTCAACATCCTCCTAGCCATTTCTTCTAACACATTTGAGGCAGCATTTGTGTTCCCTGATTTCCAGTAAGCAAAAGCAACACTGGTGTAGATAACACTATCACCTGAAATACCCTTCCCTTCCATATGAACTAACAACTTTTCAGCACTTTCAATCCTTTCTATCTTGCTTAACCTTCTTATCAACGCCCTGTAAACAGAAACATCGAGACAAATACCTTTACTCAGAAACTCATCCGGCAGTGCTAGAACTGCATCTGTATTGTCTTTCTTACAATAGCCGTCAACAATCCATGAGTAAGTGCAATAACTTGGAGAAAATCCAGCATCAAGCATGCCAAACAATAGTTCCTTGGCACTTTCAAGCTCGCTCAATTTACAGAACCCGTAAATCAGTGCTTTATATGTAAAGGGATCAGGCTTCAGTCCAGCTTCTACCATCTTATTTTTAGACTTCAAAGCAGAACTCAAATCTCCTATCTTGCAATATGCATTAATCAGTGTGTTGCACGTGATATTGTCAGCTTGAATTTTTTTCTCACTCATCTCATTCAAGAGTTTGTTCGCATCCCTTATCCTGCCATCCGAACACAGCTTCCGGAAAATTGAATTATAAGTAACAACACCAGGATACAATCCCTTAGCCTCCATCATCTCACGCAATCTCAAAGCTTGCTCCAGTTCATTTGCTTTACAATAACCATCAATCAATGTAGTATATGTGATAACATTGGGAGTGGCACTTTTGATTTCGCCGAACATCCTCATAGCTTCCCTCATCCTACCTTCTTTGCAAAATCCATAAATAAGAGAATTATAACTAACAATATCAAGATTTATCCCCTCTCTTTCCATTCTATCCTGAACCGACAAAGCCTCATAATGCATCTCCTTTTTGCAATACAAAGCTATCAAAGTATTGTACGTGAAAATATCAGGAACCACACACTTTCCTTCCATCTCATTCAGTATAAACTCCGCCCTCTCCACATCTCTCGATTTCAAACAAGCGTGAATTAAACAATTATAAATATAAATATTCGGAACAACCCCATCTCTAACCATTCTCTTATAAACCTTCCATACCATGTTAGTAACACCCTCTTTCAACAAAGAGTTCATAAGAACAGTACAAGCATGCAAATGCGGCTTTAAATTACACAAACTCATAAAGTCAAAAACCTGAACCGCGTCATGGGTCATCTTAGATTTCGCATAATGTATCACAATCCAGCTCAAAACATGTGAATTAACTTCAGGGTCATCATGAATTCTCACCAAAGAGGTCAAAACTGAAGGATATGAAAGTATTTCCTTTTGGGCAATTTTGTCAAGCACGTGGTGTGCGGTTTTGAAATGTCTGTGTTTGGTGAGTATGTGAAGCATGGACCATGAAGATTGTAAGGAATGAGTGTAGTGTGGGATGGAGTGAGCCCATTTGAAGAATGAGAAGATGAAAAAAGGTTCGTAATGGTGTTGTGTGAGGTGCAAGATACATTGGTGAATGGTGGTGGAAGTGAGAGTAGAAGCGATTTTAGGTTTTGAGAGATTGTTCCAATGACCCTTTACGATAATTGCACAGATGCTATCAATAAAGTGCTTATGAGTTTCAATCAAAACCATGTTTCTCACTGTGTTTTGATTTTAAAAAAGTGACTATCATAACATGTGATTTTTTATATCAAAAAAGTGATTATGAAACACGGATAGTCTAAAAAAAATTTCGACACGGACACTACATTAATAATAATTTTAAAATTTATCTTGATTTTATTTATAAAAAAAAAATTACTTTTTAGATTTATTAAATAATTAATATATCTAGACAGTTTATAGATCAGATATACTATTAATTATTTAAAAAAAATTTTAAAAAAAATTTTTTTCTTATAAATAAGATTATAAATAAACATAATCATAAATGTCATTACACGATTGTTTTCAAAAATCTCATTGTCATATAGATTATAGATTATGAGTTGTTCTGTCATTCGTGAAATCAAACTCCATGAATGAACCTTTCTCTGAATGAGTTTCTTTTGGTTTAATGATACATGAACCGTTAAGTTAAATGGTTGAGCGGGTTACAATAAATCAAATCCACTTTTACATGATTCTTTGATCACTACTATGGGCAGGGTTAGCACAATGTAACACTTCCTTGACTCATGTTGGCTAAAAAATTACTATCTATAATTCTATTTATAAGAAAAATTTATTTTTTAAATTTATTAAATAAATAATGTATTT